CCCAAGGAAGATGCCTCCGGGGAACCCCCCGACGCCCTAAGCCTGTCCCTACCCCCTCACCAATCACAACAGTGAAGGCGGGACCAAACTATGACCCCCCACCCCCACTAGGTGATGGAGCTGATAAAAGGGCTCTGTTCTTTTTAACTGACGTTGCTTTGAGTCATGTGACATGGCTACTTCAACCTTCCATTGTTTTGTTGCAACTTGCTGCTGGATTTCATGATCTGTCACATAAGCTTAACGGTGTTGATGATACATTTACTTTGTTAAATTTGAAATGCAACACACTGTGAGACTCTGCTGGCATTGAATCTTTTACCATTTTTACCATAACGCTGAAACGTACAGGCATTAAAATCACAGCGGATCATTTTAAATGACTAATACAGCCTTTACTGAGCAATTCTTTTCTATTTAGAGTCCATCTGTCACACCTCTTGTATACATCACCTGTGATGTATCAAATGGATTGTTCAGTAAGATGCATTTCCAGGTCACAGGTAGGACATGTTGTTGGACACACTGATTTAGCATTTAAATTGGATAATAAACATTTAGTTGGTTTAATTCTCCTTGACTTTTCATTTTGATTTTCCTGCATGCTTGTTTTTGTTTTTAAATATTTTTAAAATAAATAATCATTTCATTTCTTTACATGTAAATGAACCTGATAAAATGAAGATTTAAAAACAGTTTTCAGTTGTTGGAGTGGATCGTATGTGTTCAGCAGCAGTAGGAGACTGTCTTTAGAGTAGCTGTGCATGATGCGTTGAGGATATGGGCACCAGCTTGCTAGCTTTGCACGTAACTGCTGTCTTCTACTGCTGGATCGTTAACCATCCGATGTGTTTTGGAAGTTTTAATCAAATTTCTTATTTGTTCTTCTGCATCAGGATGCGACCTGACATAATTTGCACATTTGCTGATGTACCTAATAATTCATGCTGTATTTGTCAGGTGTTCAGAGTTACTACTTAATGGCAATAAATGTTATGGTTGTGAATGCCAGCAACTGTAATTATGCATGTACTCCTGTCAGAATGGTGACAGTGTTGGTTAATGTGTACTGGAACAGACTGGAGTGATCCAGAAACAAAACAAATTCTGTCCTGATCACTGAAATGACCAAAGCATTTATGACTTATATGGATTTCTTAAACAATGTCAGATTTTGAGAGAAGAGAATGAAAATGTGTTAGGATGTGTTTGCCTCATTACAGAGTTAATGGTGTTAAACTCTTAGAGAACAGGAGGCTTTGGCCGGAGAGTTGAGGAGGGGCCTGTAACGCAGCTATAGACCTGTGGCATCCTGCCAACAGCCACTAATAGAGCCATGAAGCAATTACCAGGACACACTGAGAGAGGGGAGTGGAGGGAAGGATAGATTATGGGACAGATAAATACAAGAATGGAGGATAGGATTAATGATATGTTGAGTGGGAGGATGGAAAGAAAGAAAAAAGGAATGTAAAATTCATTAGCACAACAAAAAAGTGATGGAGGGAAATGGGCTTTGTGCTATTTGATATGACCATTAACTGATAATCATTTTGAAAGAGAGAAGAGACTGTTGCATCTCGACCTGCAGATTAGATAGATGGTCTGTACTGCCTGACTAACTCCCCTGTGGTCCCTAAATCTGGTGGGGGGGGCGGTGTGAG